CCCTACTTTGGTAGGGACATAAGAAACATGTGTTGCGGCTCTCAGAGGGACACGTGAGTTGTGACCCCTCAGATGCCGGGTTGGGGTTAGTAAAGTCTGTCGCCTCAAAAGCTCGGCTGAACTTTTGCCAGTTGAGGTTTTCAGAAATTTTCGAAGGCATCCTCAGAGATTCGTGTGGCCCTTCAGAGGTCTACGTATGTATAATGTCCTCAAAGATCCCTGTATGGGCCCTCTAGAGAACATGGACACCAGTGGGACTCTCAGAGGCCGGTTTGGGCCCTCCGAAAGCTTCTTAGAGCTCAGTGGAGCTCCTTAGGAGCCTGTGTGAAAAGCAGGCTCATGAGCCCTGCGGCACTTGAACGGTACTTGTGCCTGTCGCAGACATTTGACGAGAGTTGAGAAAGGCCCCGAAGATTTCGTGTCACGCTTTGAACGAAAATTAGGTGTCAGCACTCCAAAATTTATTAAAATCAGCTACAAAATGTAATAAAGAACAGTGGCGGCGGAAGCAGGGGGGCAAGGGGGGCAGCTGCACCCTAAAGCTATGGAAAGGGGCGCCTCGAAAATCTGTAGAGAAGGCAGGAAGTTAAGAGGTGCGGCAGCCATAAAGCTGAGCAGTGCGACACCGCAACTGATAAAGGCACTTGTGACACGAAGAGGGTGGCAATGACGTGGGAAAAGTATCTTTTGATATGCTGAAGAGTGGAGGGCATATCTGAAACAAAGGCAGATGCTGCCGACCCTGTCGAATATAATCTTGCCAGGCGATAAAGGCTAGGAGGGCGCAGCCACTCGAGAAGCGCGCCATGCGGAAGAGGGGCGCCTGCATGCGAAAGAGGGGCGCCTGTGTGTGGGACGAAAAAGAAACATTTGTGGAGACGTCTTTGAAGGCGATAGCCTCCGAACGCCAACACGAACATATGAGAGCTTATAGCGTTGCAGGCTCCATGCGACAAAAAGGGGCGCCTGATGGCCGATATGCGAGAGGAAATTAGTTTGTGTAACATTTATTGGGGGCGGTTTGCCGTTTACAACATATGAATGTTAAGGGAGGTCCGAGATTGGGGCCTGTAAAATTGCACTGTCCGTATGGGCGGTTACACCCCTAGTGCTAGGGCGTATTTTGCGTTTTTTTTTACTGGGGAGATGATTATGACCAGGAATAGCACTCTGCAAACTTCTATGGGCGCCTGTATAGGGGCGAAACTGATTTTCCAGTGCAGGGACGGCCATCGGCATTGTGGGGCTGCATTCATTCCACTGGGGCGTCTGCCAGTGTTGAAGGGCGGTATTCATTTCAATGGGGCGCCCGTTAGTGTTGATGGGCGACATGTATCACCTGGGGCGCCTATCGGAGATGGGGGCGGCATTAATTTCACTGAGGCGCCTATCGGCGTTGACGGGTGGTATTTATTCATCCGGGGCGCTGATCGGTGGTATAGGCCGGCATTCGCTTCACTGAGGTGCCTATCGGTGTTTTAAGGCGGCAGTAGGAATCCACTGGTGTCTGGGGCGCCTACCGGCGTCGAAACTCGAAAGGCGACATTCATAATTCATTTCACTGGGAGGCATATTGGTGTTGAGTTGATGTGTAACATTCATTCTCCTGGGGCGCCCGGCAATGGTAAGGGGCGCCCAGCGGGAAGGGGCGCTTCAATATCGTTTGCACTCCTATCCTAGAATACCTTCCGCCGCCACTGATAAAGAACCAGTATAACGCCTTTTGGGGCGACTAACAGAGCGAGCGAGAGGGTGGACCTTGCACGTGCGAAATTGCGAGGGGGTATCTCCAACTGACTTGTGCACGGCACCCTACTAGCCGGTCTCTAGCGATGGGCCAAATTTGAGCACAATCGGCCCAGCCGTTCTCGAGATCTGGAAGCGGCACCCTGCACGTGCGCACGTGTAAAATGGATCCCAACTGACTTGTGCACGGCACCCTACTAACTGCTCCGTAACCGTGTACCAAATTTGAGCGCAATCGGTTCAGCCGTTCTCGAGATCTGGAATCGACCCCTGCACGTGCGCACGTGCAGCAGCACCCCAACTCTGGCACATGGATATGAATTGCCTAGTGGGTGCCTACCTACATGCCAACTTTCAGCGCAATCGGCCCAGTAGTTACCGAGATATTGCAACAATTACAAAAGTGACACCTCTTCGTTTTGCACGTGGCACGTGCATAAGGGGTCACCCACATGCATCGGGAATAGTCCAATACTTGGTAGAAGGAATGAAGCTACCCTACAAAAATTACCGCGTGTAAATCGGTCAAGTGGTTGCTGAGATATAGGCCTCGCAAAACCGTGACTACGGCCGGCCGGCCGGCCGGCCGCTCATACTCAGAAATTTCCGTTAATCTAAGGAAAGACTACGCTCGCTTCGCTCGCTCCGTAACCAACTAGGAACATGGCATGAATCATGGCATTGACATTTCCGAGTCTGGAGTCGGAGTCTTGAAGATTTTGGCGACTGCGACTCTGACTTTGGTTTGAACTGCACGCTGCAACAGAGTCTGACCTCACAGGCATTCTCAGAAAGGTACCCCCATTTTTCCCCGACTCCAAAATCTCATCGGATCTGTATCGATCTCAGGGGGTGCCCGGTCCGAGGTTGGGGGGGGGGGGGGGCAAGCTGCCCCGCTTGCCCCCCCGTGGCGACGCTAATGCCCTAATAGGTCTTCAAAGCCCCCTGCTGGGTCTAAATTGGTCACTGATATGCCCAAGTGGGCCACTGAGATGCGGCCAACTGAAATGAGGCCAACTTTTGCTAGTCCCGACCACATATAGTAGGTTTTCTAGTAGTTATCCTAGAAATTCCTACCAAAATTCGTCCTACCCTTCACTCAATATACCCTGGGCTAAAAAAAAAAACTCTGTGAGATTTATTGAATCATTCCGGCCCCGGGCAGGAAAATATATTTCTGCCCGGGGCCGGGATGGAGGAACCTGTGAAAGGTATGGCTGAACATCAGCACGGATATTCTGGACATCTTGATCTATGGAATGCCCAAGCGGATGAGGGAATGGGTGGGACAGGGTAGGGGATAAATCGGTAAACAGACCATGACTCTGGGGCTATTTGTTTATTAACCCTCGCCCGTATAGGGGGGGGGGGGGTCGAACGGACCCCCCCCCCATGGTTTTTCGCGAATAACTCGCGTAAAAAGCGGCCGATCGCGACGAAACTTTCAGTACCCTCGCGTTCATCAATTTCACACCTACCCTGAAAATTTCATGACCCTGACCCAAATGACCTTTGACCTGTGACCTACTTTTCGAGACCATGTTTGGCTGGAATCGCGATTCGGCGTATGTCGGCTCGCATTAGCCGCGCGTTTGCAGTCTTTTCGTGGTTTCAAGCGTTCAAACATGTGATATGATGTTGCCCCCGTGCATTAGGGTGGGTGTCAAGGTCAACTGAAGGTCAGGTCAGGTCATTGACCTTTGATGACCTCGGTTCACTTTTTCGAGTTTTACATGTTTCTAGGCCAGTTTTTGGAGCTGAATTCGAATTTAGAAACCATATGAACATTTACGAAGTAGTTTTGGTGCCTTCGTAACATGTTACGAAGCTGTCAGAGGCGGTTGCCACCTACTACGAATACCCTTACTGGTTGACCTGACCTGACCTGACCCGACCTGGCATAAATACATGAAGACATCATCTGTGATCAAAACTAACATGATATTCGTGATCAGCACCCCGAAAAACCCCATAGCAGCCACACTTTACGACGTTCTAACAGGTCCCGATTTTCCCGCCTTTGGGGTCATTGACCTGACCTGCAAGGTCAACCAATGACCTAGGACCTTAAAATTGGGTATCATCGGCTTCTTCTCGTCACGGGCAACACGCTCCTTTTTTCCGCGAAGCTCTAGCTCGATCAGGGGCGAAACGGCAAGGGGGGTCCAACGGACCCCCCCCCCCCTTATACGTTCGCGGCTGGAAAAACACCAATACGGGCGAGGGTTAACCCGCGAGTTGCTGGGGGGGGGGGCGTTAAACGCCCCCACTTTTTTCGCCGGGCCATAGCATAAAAACGGCGCGCTTTTGGGTACCTGTAGGGAATTGATTAAAGTTTATTGTGACAAAGTTTCAAAAAAATCGGTCGGAAAATTTTTGAGATGTCGAGGTTTTAATGACGTCATGATTTCTGATTTTTCGACCAAAAACGGTATATGTTCAAAAAATCATATAAAATCACAGAATAGACATACAGACATGCCGTAAACGCCATTAGACTGCCAATACCATGAACAATCAAATGGCTATCTTCGATTATTGATTATCGTTCCGCATTTTCCAAAATCTTGAACTGAATCTTGGCAATTTCTCGTGACTACTTCACGACCATGATACATGTATTTCTTAAATTGAACTTTTTTAGCCAAATACGTACACATATGATAAAATGAATGCCACCATCGTGTTCTACGCCCCAAATTACCCATAAAACATGTGTCATAGGCTGCGAATATCAGTTTTGATTTTCGGGGATATGTGCCTGCCCGGTTGACCTGACCTTGACCCTGACCTATGCTTGACTGACCCCTACATGGATCTGACACTCTTGTAGGCCTAATATGATGGATTGTGCACCGTTTTGACAGAGTTTATGACGAGAGGCGCCCATTGCGAAGTCCTGAAGTCCATGCTACTGAAAGCCCGATTTCAGGTGTTTGAACTCCTGACCTTGACCCGACCTGTGACCTCAAAATTCAACTTTAAAGTGCTCATCTGAAGCGTCTCGTCGCGTTCTTTCGTTTGCCGCCTCGTGCGTTTCGCTGCGCCTATTGGTTCTCGAGTTATCGGCTGGGGGCGTTTAACGCCCCCCCCCCAGCAAACGGTGGGTGGCGAAATACCCCAGCAACTGCCGGGTTAATTATGGCAGGGAATTGATGGATGGGCAAATAATTTTCGGACACCCTGTATATTGTCATCACCAGCGTCCCTTCGATAGACCCCACAGCCCTCAGAACTACCAACAGTGCACTGACCTGAGGATGACGGTCCGGCCGGAGAGGAAGTCACAGACTCCCCAGACGTCTCCGAGTGGACGGTCAGCTCCCGGGCCGCGTCGTCTCCGTAGTAAACCAGCAGCTCTGAGCCCCTCTGAACGGGCTTTGACGTCCTGCATAGGTCGATAAATGTGTCAGAATTGATGAATGTATGGTATATCTCCAGTTAATAGATAATTGGTCATTAATAGCTCAGCAGCGTCCATGATAGCACAAGGCAAACCACACACACAAAATACGGAACGCAGTCTGGTGGGACAGATCCGTGGATTCTAAGACGCACCTGAAGTATATCTGACCCCGGTACTGGAAGGCCACCAGGTTTTGTTCTTCCTCCGAGCGGGCACAGTTGACCCTTCTGAGCCAGTTGCTGCAGCTCGGGTCCTCGGCATTCACAGAGTGATGCACGCGTTGACCCTTCTTGATCTGAAGTACGACACAAAATACTCATCAATTCTTGAAATGAAATGAAAATAACGCGTTTGTTATGGGAACATCGTCAACTTTTTATGTTTCTCTAACATTGTTGCAATATTTTAAGTCTTTCGTCGTATTAATAACTCCATGGTGATTAAAGGGGCAATGGGACTAAATCTATATTATCATACAAACTATGAACCACCAAAATATAATTGCAATAAGGGCAAAGAAGATGCGACAGATAAATGACAAAACTGACCTGCCAGCTGTACCCAGTGGTTCGGGCCTGACCCTGCTCCGTGGTCAAGATGCCATCGTAAGGACCGAGTCTTTGGCGCACCGGCAGCTCATCCTCCGCAAATACTCCTGGAATCAAATAAATCCATGTCTACCTCACCTAAATGGATGTACTGAATTCTGATACATGGGACAGGAAATTACACAATACGAGCACAACACCAAATGTTAGCAGCAAATGTCCAGCAGCGGTTGTTACGTACCGCCGTTTGTCGCCTTGTCAACTTACCAGTGCCAGATGCCGGGTTGCTCGACTGACCAGAGCTGAGAGAAGGCGGCAGCGTCTTGAGGTCCCTTTCGGCATCTCCGATACCGGGTCGTGCCTGGAATATTCAGCATGTAAGGGGCGCAATGTCGACCAAGGATGATACAATATGCACGAATTGAGTTGACCGTAGACCTATTCCTAAATCAGACGGGAATGTTTTGTTAAGGAGCGAGCGAAGCGAGCGTAGTCTTTCCTTAGACCAGTAAAAGTCTTTCCTTAGACCAGTCGTTCTTCGCCATTGGGCGAAGAACGAGCGAGCGAGATAGTGAGCCCTGCACGTGCGCAAGGGCGAGAGGGTACTTCCAACGGGCTTGTGCAAAGCACCCTTCTAACCGGTCGCTAGCGGTGTGCCAAATTTGAACGCAATCGGCCCAGCCGTTCCTGAGATCTGGAAGCGGCATTCTGCACGTGCGCACGTGCAAGCGGGGTCCAAACTGACTTTTGCACGGCACCCAACTAACTGGTCACCAACCGTGTACCAAATTTGAGCGCAATCGGCCCAGCCGTTCTCGAGATCTGGGAGCGCCCCCTGCACGTGCGCACGTGCTGTAGCACCCCAACCTTAACACATGCAGATGAATTATCTGATGGAGACCTAACTGTGTACCGAGTTTCAATTCAATCGGCCCGACCGTTGTGCCGTTATTGAGGTTGCAATTTTGGGGTTCTTAAAAAATGTCCAACTTTACCACGCGCCACGTGCGGTGGTTGGCAAGAACGCATGGTGGCCAATGGCCATCACACCACAGAACTTTTACGTCCAGGTGACATTCAGTAAAGAAGACCGCTTGTCAATCGGATGTCCCGTTCCTAAGATATTAGCTTATGAAGAGCGTCTCCACGGCCGGCCGGCCGGCCGGCCGGCCGCTCATGCTCAGGATTTTCCCTTAATTCAGTATGAACTCGCTCGCTCGCTGCGCTCGCTCGCTCGTAGGCATACCACCTAATCAGTCGCAATAAATATCGAAATGTAGTAAGCATCCACCGGTGTAATAAAAAAGGCGGACTAAAGGTACGTATATACATGTGTGGAGCATACCAAACCGACGCATCCCTTACCTTGGTATCGGGTATGACCTTCAGCGGCCCATGGACACGACATTCACCGTCCCAATCACGGCAGCACACGTCACAAACTGTCGGAAAGAAGGGCAAAGTCTTACTTTTTGACGAATTGATGGAGGGACAATAGAGAAAGGTTTTTGATCACTTTTATAACTTACGTTTCTGTTAGACGAAAACAGCATATCTGTGGTGGGTTTTAGTTGTCTGTAATCTTATGAGTTCCTATCACGTACATTTGTTGTTTGATTAGCAAAAGCTAGTGGACAAAAAGGAGGGAGACACTCACATATGTTACCATCATCGAGACCATCCACGTCCCGGTAGTTTATGACGAGACGTTGACTCTTGATGAACATCCCTTCAGCGAACACTGAAAAAAACAGTAACAGGTCATGTATGACCGGGCTGGGGTGCATTTAGGTGAGGATTGCATTCAAAAGAACGCCTGCTGTCAGAACACTAAAATCACTTTGTAAGTCCCGATCCAATAGCATGAGTACAAACTAACATTTTCACTTCACGGTGTACAAAAGTAAGGTTCCAAGATAAAATTGTACAACCCCTTGCATATTTCAAACTTCTGTTAACTTGCCTTCTGTAGAGTCTTGATTGTCCGGCGAACAGTCCGGTAACAGATTCTTTTTTACATTGGAGATGAACCAGGCACTGAAAGAAAACAACAACACAACAATTTTAGAATTCATCGACGGGATATTGTGTTTACGATGTCCAATAACTACTCGAATTTCGATTTTTAACAACAGCACTTAGCCACATCCTTACTTGTCCCGGTCCAACTCCGTGAACCCGATGAAGTCTTCAGACGGTGACGGCGACCGACTCCGCAGCTTCTGCTCCCTCGCCAGAGACTGCAGAGCTTTGTCCGACAAAGGGTCGTCGTCCGACACCCAGGGAGACGACGGCCGCTCAATCTAGACCAAATAAAGAAACCATCAACATTTGATCTCTCTTCCGGTTTCCGCCGGCGGTTTATTAATCAATACAGAAAAAATAGGCAAATAAGGTGTGTAGTTTGAGTCAATGAACAAAAACATAGTGAATAGATAGACGGCGCCACCGGCTGGCAAGGATACATAACATACGTCATTCCTCATTCATGGCAAGGATACATTCATACGTCAAGGATTTATCGTAACATACGTCATTCCATCACAGACATTAAAATTTGAACACATTTTACGTTTGCATTTCCCTTCAATCAGCCTGGCAATAACAATATAAACAGTAAACACCAATGAGAAATGAGCACCATGTGTTTGTACACTTACCCCTGGTGAAGGGACTTCAATCTTTATCTCCTCTTTAACAACCGGCTCAAGGACGCCCTCGGATCCGTGACTGTCTATGGGAGTGGAGTCCCTCCCTCTCTGGGATCGCCTCAAACCCCATTCTTCGTCGCTGTCAGCAGAGCCCTCCCGAGACCACTTTGGTTCCATCGGTGGTGTTGACGCAGCCTGCGTAAACGGCGGTCGTTCAGACTCATGATTGTTCAATACAATACAATACAATACACTAGTGAGATAGGGTACATGGTCCTTTGTAAGTTCACGTCGATTTTACATATACCGAATCACGATAAGGTGAGTGTGTAGGTAGCAAGAAATCGCAAACTTCTTAAGTTGTCTGTCATCAACAAAAATTGAGTAATTCCATTTGGTATTGGTGACCCAAATACATCTCTCATCAATATCAATGATACGGTTTGTCAACATGAATGTAGGCACCAAGTAAATATTGTCACAACACAACTAATTGTGGGTACTCTTAGTTTTGAATGCTACTGTTTTAAGTAAGTACAATGACAAACTCAAGACCTTATTTTAACTGATAAGACGCAGACCAATATGAGCACTTTTATGTTGGATCCCCTAGTGTGGCTGGGATTTTCCCTACACCAGCCATCTGAAAATAAAAGCCAACCAAATCGAATAGAAATTTGATAACATGCTAATACAGGTGGCCATATTACAAACCACAATATTCAAGTTTTTGAGGTCTCCATGTTTGCACTCTAATAACAAGACCAATTTGCCCAATTGAATTGAACCAGAGGTTGGAAATTCACACTGGCCAGATGCCAGCCCTACATGTCTAGACTCTTAGACACTGTACTGCAGAACTGTAAAGTGCACAATGGCAGCAGCACAACAGTGACATTGTGGCAGTGATTGTTAAATGCACAGCCACAAGTGAGACTAACTATGAACACTCATCCACAAAATGGGTTACATGCCCAGGTTCGCACACCCCATACTAAGAGGACCCACAGGTTTTCTTACAGTGAAGCCAGACTACATATTACGGCAATTGAGTCAATAAGCTGCACCAGCTTGGTTGCCACTCCAATACCGATAACCAACCAATTATTGGACCAACTACTCTCCAATATGTTGCCATGTACATCATTCTCTTGGACAACAATGCACCATGGCACAGCTCAGTTTAGCATAGTACCACTCACTGCCTGGCAGGCAGTGACTCCCTGCAGGCTGCACTGTCCCAGGGTATATTGCACTGTCCCATGCAGAATCTGCACAAACCACTTAATCACAAAGCTTGTACCATACTGCCCATCAGCAGTGGCTGAATGACTGAACAACAGCTTCCATCAAAATAGGTATGCTTAGCAGCCTAGTGTGATGCCTCCTTGAAACAGCAGCACACAGCCAAGCACAGGACCTGAAGTCTGGGGTTCCAGATATATTGTATATATCTATAAATATGACTATAGGATTTTGCTTATATGGCAGACATATAAACTAGACTGGGCAGCAAGGGAATTTCTGCAAGTTAGAGGGAGCAAAAAGAGGAAATGTGCTAGGCATAGGTGACGTAACACAAGCGGTGACGCAGTGGTGTGGGCGGGACTAACGAGCGATGAAGTCCTCACTGCGCATGCGTGCTGCAGCATATTTCATTTTGGCTGCGCAGCCGAACAGCCCTCAGGTTCGATTATCTTTTCTTTTATTTGCGGCACATGTAAGCATCATATTCAGATTCAGAATGTGAAATTACCTATGAAAGAACATGCAAAATTTATGTTTTAAAAGTGAATCAGACTTTTTCTGAACATTTACCAGCATTCCTAGATTGATGTGACAGCTACCCATAATGCAACACCTACCAAACAAGGGTTGGTCAAATATTTTGATTTAATGGCTCTTCATTGCAGTTTTGAAATCACAAATGCAGACATCTTTCTTTTTAGAGTAACACATACCTAAAGGTTTTGTATTGTGTAAACTGATGTACATCTACCTCAATGTGGACTTCTCTGAAAATTACAAAATAACAACAACCCCTAGGCACGCTGGATCCTCAAGGCCAAGGCCATATAGGAATCTTTAGTATCTATGACTGTCTGTTATTGTATCCACCCAATATCAACGGGTGAGACTAAGGCCGCGTTCGATGTCTCCTCGGACGAAGAACATTCTACGCAGAATATTCTATTTTGCGTTCGATAAAGCACACAGGCGGACGACGAGACCGGCCATTTTGTGCGCCACTTACACAATGTGCGTCAGTTTCGAAAAAGGCCCAAGTTTACGTTTCCATAGAGACCGCGCATAAATGTCAACAACTTCTGCAAACAGCTGCTGCGCCGCTTTTGAAATACGCGCCATCATTGCCCCTCTGCCCACCGTAGTACGCTCAAAAGATTCTGCGCGGACGACGAAGATTCTACGTGACGTCACGTAGAATCTTTGCCGTCCGTGCGACATCGAACGCCATTTCGGGCCCGGACGGCATAGAATCTTTGCCGTCCGGGCAGGGGCGGCGCCACGGGTTTTCGATAGGGGGGGACGGGGACCTTGCCTGACCGAAAATCCCAAAAGTAGATACTGATCGTGTATGCAAAAAAAAAAAAAAACGAGGCACGTAACGCCGCGAAACTTGGCAAAGCCCAAAACACATCGAATGGTGCATCCCGTTTCCAAACTTATCCTAGGAAACCTAAGATCGATCACCTTTTCAAGCATCCTTGCCTCTAAAGTCTAAATCAAAATTTGCAGTCTTGCCAACTCAAAGCTGGTTTCCTACAAGCTGCGAATTGCTTAGGTATGAGTAGCAGTGCCAACTATTCTTACGTTTCGTACTTTCAAATTTTCGATCTTACGTCTGGTCAGCTTTATGGCTTCACCATCAAATAGTCATGGAGGAAAAGTGGGAATGTCTTCTGCTCTGACAAGTGCGCCAAAACTGCTATATAATTTCAGAATCATGACATCACCACCTGATCCATATGCAACGGGCAGGGTGCAGCTAATGGCTAGCCGTCAGTGGTCATGTCATCGGTGGTCACTCAAAAGGTCATGCTAGGTCATGGAAGGTCACCAGCCGTTATTTGATCACACTTCCTGATGGATTTTCTTACCAAGAGCTTCGCGGAAAAAACGAGCGCATGCACCGTTGAAAAAAAATGAGTGAAAGGGTCTCAGGTCCGACGACCTCTGCAGGTGAAATGCCCCAGGTTGGATTCCGGTCCTTGTTGATTAACTTCGTCAAAAATGGCAGTAGAGCTGTGATGTCGGCACCATTGTGTTCGTCATGATCGAGCTGGCACGACCTGCATCGTTCTCATATTCACCCTCCAATCGTAACAACTACAGCAGGGATTGGCAAATGGCGGGGCACCCCCTTTGGGAGGCAATGAAGGTCTCTGGAAACCTCATCCCTCATCTCTTTAGCATTAGTGGCTCTCCTTATGGAACAGGTCTCTTGGCTGGTCTGTTTCACCCCAGAATTCAAAGACTAGTCAAGGTAAAACCGAGCGCACCACAGTGAGCACAATTTGATAAGCTGGTGTAGGTATCTCAATTTTCATGTAGAAACTTTCACGTATCACGTACCTAAAACCCTTTCGTGCACTCATGCAAAAGCAACTGCCATGTTTCAACAGCTGGTAATGGCATTTTCACAGCCGCTGACGTAAGAAGGGGAGGGGGGGGGCTCGATTAGACCCCCAGCCGTTCGGCCGCCCACCGAACTTAGTTTTGAAGAAAAAAAGAGTGCTATCGAACCCCTTGACGAGAGGGAGCCGATGCTACCCAATTATAAGGTCTTGGGCTACTGCGTGCTTTTTGGTCCTGCCTGTAATCTATCCGAACACTTCTCCCCGGACCCCAAGTGCTGGGGTTAAATGGCATAGATTTCAAATGGTTCCTGTGGTAGAACTGCCATGCTTGAATTTGACTTACATATTAGGAATGGACAATATCCATAGAGTAACGGAAATCTATTGAATTTCAGTAGACTTGGTTTTGTCGGCAATGGGGTCTGGCAGTGGGGTGGGGAGGTAATAACCCTGTGCCTGGCGCCCCAAAAAGGGGGGGGCACGATCCCCGCTACCGATCACCTTATAACTACAGGCATCACAGCTCCACACCTTTTGCAGATGACCAGGACCCCCTGCAATACATCCCAACAGCAATTTTTATTCAGAACCTGCCTTGATTAACCAACGATGCATTAAATGCGACAGATAACTCTACAATGCGTTATGATCAACTATTGAACGGGCCTCGCCGATAGGGGGGTACTGTACCCCCCTAACTTTCGATAGCGGGGGACCTGTCCCCCCCGTCCCCCCCGGTGGCGCCGCCCATGCGTCCGGGAGACATCGAACGCGGGGTAAATGCTTACTTCGAAATCTAAGCTGCGTTGCGGCATTGGCGGCTATGTGCGGCGCGTATGCCGCATGATTAGTAAGCGGCGACCACTAAATTAAAAGCTCAATAGCTTTGACCTGTTTTCAATGGATAACACTGCATACCAAAAATGTCCATCGCTCTCGTCATAGGATATTTAGAGTTAAATAACTAAGGCTGGGGGGATCCAGAGCGTCGTAAGCCTCGTCGCAGCTGCGACGTGTCGCAAGTTGTGTAGTAAGTCGTTTTTGAAGGGATCAATCGATGAGTAGCGTTACTTAAGTAGTAAAGTCTATCGCAAATAGCCTGATTTGCGACACAACTTACGAATTTGAAATAGCAGTCGTAAGTTGTGTCGCAAGTTGACCTTGCCTTGAGGAAGAGGTCACAGGTCACAGGTCATTCGGGTCATGGTCACGAAATTTACATGGTAGGTGTAAAATTGTTTAAACTTTAGATCCTGAAAATTTGGTTGCAATCCGTTGACGCTAACGCGAGTTATAGAGCTTGAACTGACGGGTCGTCTATGAGGCCTCAATCCGTGCCAGCGAGAGTGTTGAAAATGGTGCATAATATGTTATATTCACATTTATTGGGGTATTCGGGGATATGAAGTAGCCTAACACCATTCCAGCAACTACTGGCGAATCCAGAAAGGCGGTCTTGGACGTTGCAAGGGGCAGCCCCCAAAATATTCTCCCAATTCCAAAAACGACGTGTCCCAGCTGACCCCGATGACCTCCAATGAGCTCTGTGATGACCCCAAGTTGACCTTTTTGACCTGACCTGTCCCAGATGACCTCCGTGACATCCTTTTGAGTTCTCTGATGACTCCAAGCTGACCTCTGTGACCTGACGTGTCCCAGATGACCCCCATGACCTCCAATAGAGCTATGTGATGACCCCAACATGACCTTTGTGGCCTGACGTGTCTCAGATGACCTCCGTGACCTCCAATTGAGCTCTCTGATGACTCCAAGCTGACCTCTGTGACCTGACGTGTCCCAGATGACCTCCATTTGAGCTCTGTGATGACCCCAACTTGACCTCTGTGACCTGGCGTGTCCCATATGACCTCTGTAACCTCTAAGCGACCTCTATGATGACCCCAAGCTAACCTCTGTGACCTGACGTGTGCCAGATGACCCTCATGACCTCCAATAGAGCTCTGTGATGACCCCAAGTTGACCTCTGTTACCTGACGTGTCCCAGATGACCTCCTTGACCTCCAATTGAGCTCTCTAATGACTCCCAGCTGACCTCTGTGACCTGACGTGTCCCAGATGACCTCCAATTGAGCTCTCTGATGACCTTTAGTTGACCTCTGTGACCTGACGTGTCCCATATGACCTATGTGACCTCTAAGTGACCTCTCTGATGGCACCAAGCTGACCTCTGTGACCTGACGTGTCCCAGATGGCCCCAATGACCTTCAATTGAGCTCTGTGATGACCCCAAGTTGACCTCTGTGACTTGATGTGTCCCAGATGACCTCCGTGACCTCCAATTGAGCTCTGTGATGACCCTAGGTTGACCTCTGTGACCTGACATGCCCCCAAGTTGCCCTCTGTGACCTGACGTGTCTCAGATTACCTCCGTGGTCTCCAATTGAGCTCTGTGATGACCCCAAGTTGACCTCTGTGACCTGACGTGTCCCAGATGACCTCTGTAACCTCCAATTGTGACCTCCATCTACAAATTTCTTACCTCTCTCTGACCTCAAACTCTCGGAACTCATTTCTTCTAAAGCATCGATTCTCGATGCCCTATAGCCACGAATCTCCTGTGATCGATCCCAAATTTTATGGCAAATCACGTGAGCGTTAGCAACCACAAGTCACCCAGTTAATACAAAGCTTCAGAATCAGAGAACATGCTTGACCTTGCTGTCTCATAAGCTCGCAAACCAGAAAGGCGAATGTTCCTTTATGCGTGATAGAGTTTTCGACCTTACTGACGTTTACTACGGGATCAGCTGATCGTGTAGCCTTTTAAATTCTCGAGTAAAGCGGGTATTTAAGCCTCGTCGCAGCTACGTTCTGTCGTATCCTCCGACAAACCCCTCTTTCCTCAACATCCCTCCTTTTCCGCTACGACACAACTTGCGACGGCATATGTGTCGTAACTTGCGACGTGTCGTAGATGGACTTGCGACGCCCTGGATCCCCCCGGCCTAACTTATCTACATCATTGTTTTGAACCAAATTAATACTCAGCCGGGAACGTATAAGGTATAACCCCTTGCCGTTTCGCTCCTGATCAAGCTAGAGGTTCGCGGAAAAAACGAGCGTGTTGCCCGTGACGAGAGAAAGCCGATGATACCCAATTTTAAGGTCCTAGGTCATCGGTTGACCTTCCAGGTCAGGTCAATGACCCAAAAGGCGGGAAAATTGGGACCTGTTAGAACGTCGTAGTGTGGCTGCTATGGGTTTTTTTCGGGGTGCTGATCTGTGATCACGAATATCATGCTAGTTTTGATCACAGATGATGTCTTCATTCATTTAGGCCAGGTCGGGTAAGGTCAGGTCAGGTCAACCAGTAGAGGTCCTGCCAGGTATTTGTAGTAGGTGTCAACCGCCTCTACAGCCTCGTAACATGTTACGAAGGCACCAAAACTACTTTGTAAACGTTCATGTGGTT